GTATAAGTGTATTTATATGTTTCAAGTTTTATTAGACATATCTCTCTTACTTTTGGGTAATCGGTTTGTAGATTTAGTTTATTAATCCAATTAGTGAGATAAAGACAAACATTTCATTGTCAAAATTTAAAATATATCATGAATCGTGTTTTCACAAACATGTGTTTGAAATGCAATATTCTTTCCATTTAGCTTAAATTTAGTGATCCAGAGGCTACCTCACCATGAAATATTATTTCGACTACAATAAACGGGTTATAATAATAATAATAATAATAATAATAATAATAATAATAATAATAATAATAATAATAATAATAATAATAATAATAATAATAATAATGATAATAATAATGATAATAATAATAATAATAATAATAATAATAATAATTATTATTATTATTATTATCATTATTGAGGTTGTTGGATTGCAATAAAGGCTGTTAAGCAAAATACATCTTTGTCAAATACCATAATGTTATTTAGTTTAAAATAAATTTGTAGGCCTGCGTACAAAGTTGTTATGAAAAGACCGCTGGTAATGTAGTAGTTTCCGCAACGATCGCGTAAGGATAGTCTTAACAACACGAGTAAAATTTAAGCTACGAGCCTTGAAGAGTTTCATTGCAAGACAATAACACAAGTGTGGAAAGACTTCACAAATTCCGTTACCAGAGTAGAGTTAGACTCAAGAAATTGTCCTCCTAGTTTGGTAGTCAGTAACACAGATTTCGAGTAATTATTAAGCATGCGAATTGCGATAAAATACGCAATTTGGATAGTTATACCTCACTTCTACTATCGGCAATAGTAGTTTTGGATTCTTCAAAATTTCTTGACGTTGCCTTGTAAAATCTCCCGTTTCCCAGCTGTTTCAACATAAAGATATTTCCAATAGCTTCTTTACAATCTGCTTTACGTATTTTATCAGAAAACGTATAGTTTGTTACTGCCATATACCATCCCATATAAAACCTTGTAAATTCGACTTGAAAGGCGGATTTTGGGAAAATAAATAAAAACGGTGCACAACCTTGCCTAAGAAAGGTTTTTATGTTTTTTGAACTGGCAAACAGTATAAAAAGCAATTTTAGCTTAAATATGATATACAATATGTGTTATTTTATGATCGCCTAAGGGGAGGCGTTAGACATAGAAGTAATAATTTTTTTCACTAACTGCTCTTAAATACAAGAACGCATTTAGTAAAAGTAGTGTGCACAAGGTAGCTGTATAATTAGTTATACTACAAATAAACTTGTAAAATTTTAAATATTACAATAACTTTCTATTTTAAATTTTCTTAAAAAAATATATATATATATATATATATAATATTTTAATACAGTTCAAACTAGTCGTTTTGTGTCAAATATCCACATATCCACATATACACGATTTTTGTCTGATTTAAATTAATTGAATGGTGGTATCTTGTATTTTAAAATTTGTCTTGTGAGACAACGTAAATTGCAAATATGTTCAGTACTTTTCCTACAGTTACCTAACAATGTACATGTTCTCTCACTGATTTGAGAAAGCAAAGTGGCCAATTCGCTCATCAGTGAGACAATGTTAACATTGTCTCACTCTAATTACTTTGTCTCACTCCAGATTTGCAACGTGAATGCACGAAATAGTGAGCACGAAACATGCAGGCAACGTCGTATGCGCGTGAAATACGTTGGCAGCACTGGCTGTAAATCAGCTGGTCAGCTGTTATACTGTTGTATTTGTCACTTCACATTAAATGTTATATTAAAAGTTCACTTCTGTGTAAAAATAGGTTATGTTTCTTCACAAATTTATTTGTTTTATGGTAACTGTAGGAAAAGTATAATGTGCAACTCGAGTTCAAAGTACAATTGCCTCACTCGAGAAACCATTCCTCGTGAGTAAAGATTTCTCTCGAGTGAGTCAATTGCTCACTTTTCTCACTAGTTGCACAAATAACTATTTCCTTTTAACTTACTTCTGACTTGTGTATTTATAAAATAATCTACTTTAACCTGGTATTCAATACTCCATGACTAGTTGTAGTTGTACTAAAATATTACTTTGCTTGATGCATAATTAATACAGTTACCTTTTGCACACTACACTTCACTAATGTGTTCTTGTAATTAATGGCAGTTGATATGGACATAAAATGTCACATGTATATTATTTGGAAGTTTAAAATGGGTAGAGATTTTTATACTATTTGGCAGTTTTTCAATACAACGAATCAGCAGATTTTCTTAAGCAAGTTGTGGACACTTCAGAACAAAGTGGTAAAACATCAAAATAATGTTGTGTTTTTGTTCAATTAACCTTTTTAGCAAAGCCAATTCATATTCGTGATTTTTTACAACGTTACTTAAGTAAAATAAAATACAATTCCAGAACGTGCTAAATCATGGATTGAGTTAATTTGATTGAGTTCATAAATCGCTATGATCTCTTTTTTAAACCAGGAGAACAGTAGTTTTTGCTGATATTGTTACTATATTTTGTTACTATCTAGTTGCTCCGCCTTTTTGATCATCGGGATATTTTTCTTTTACATTTTGATGTACTTGTTTAACTGTAGAGTTTTTAATTTGTAGCGTGTTCGATACTTGTGTTATATTATTGAAACATAGTAACCTCTTCGTGGGACACCCTATATATGATACATAACTAGAAAACTTTATAAAATATATTTATACATGCTTTTAGCGAATTTCCCTATAGGGAAGTAGCTATTACCGTAGGTGGCACGGTAAGACCTAGACCCGGGACCGATTTACTTTTTCATTTTGATGTCCCCAGAGGCCAAAAACACCATTCGTTCTAATTTTTATATATGTATATATATATATATATACGTCCGTGAACGCGATAACTTGAGTAATTTTTGTCTGATTTTGATGAAATTTGGTTTAAAGGTGTAAAGCGGGATAAACTTGAATGAGTTCGCGAACCAGCATGATCGGACCATGGGAACAGGGCTTTACGGGGGGTTTTATGGGGTAAAAATTGAGTTTTCTCACTTTTGACCCTCAAAACAAATAATTTAGTATATAAAAGTATTTTTGTTCGATTATTAGTAACGGAGAAAATTAAAAAAATTGTAAATTTAAAATTCCCATGTTATTCTTATGGAGAATATTGTCAAATGTTGTAGTTTGCTTGTTTATGGATATATTTTGAAATAGATATTTTCAAACTTGGCAAATTTATTTATTTTGTACTAAGCTATCAATATTTTACTCAAAAACACACTTTATTAGTTTCCTTGTAGCAGCAAACCTAGGTACTCGTTAAACCTAATGTTATTAAAATATATTTAATTGAAAATCAATTCAGACAAATGGAAATTCGCTTAGTCAGCAGGTTTGCTGCGGCGGGGGTATATATTATTACTATCTAGTTGCTCCACCTTTTTGATCATCGGGATATTTTTCTTTTACATTTTGATGTACTTGTTTAACTGTAGAGTTTTTAATTTGTAGCGTGTTCGATACTTGTGTTATATTATTGAAACATAGTAACCTCTTCGTGGGACACCCTATATATGATACATAACTAGAAAACTTTATAAAATATATTTATAAATGTGTTTTAAAATATATTACAATAATCTAACTAATTAAAGCTGCCCTCTCTAAAAGCTAGAGATGTAGGCAATGTCTTGTAGTGAATTACAAAATTACGCATGTGAGACAATAAAATTAATTGAGTCGATATTCAATTATTATAACTGAAAACAACATTAGCTGAAAAATGCATATTTACCTAGAACTTTTACATACATATATATAATACATGGAACAAATATGTTGTATTTTTACATACAGCTACTTGCGGGAACGCCTGTAGTGTAGAGGAGAGCGCAGAACTTTCCTCTAAAATATTTAAGTTTCCAGGTAACGTTTGGTAGGAGTTCCGAGATCCCTTTTCTAAGTAAATATTTCAACAAGAAGCCTTGGGGGATGTCAAACAGGGATTCGCCATACCTTACCCTCCCCTCTCCCTACAGTATCTGGATCCTGGTAATGAAGTGCAAACTTGTGTTTAATTGTCCGCTGTTCCTACTGAGCCAACACATCACCACTCTCCGACAAAGCACCTTCTCATTGCTCTGATACAGGTGATAGGTGATATTGATTTATCATCTTGTGGCAGAAAACTTGGGAGCAAATAGAAAACGTTAATGCAAAAGTTAAGGAGAACTTCAGGAAAACGATTCGAGGGATAAAGATGAAACGAAATCTTTCACCTACTAATGCCGTAGCATATAACATAGCTTTACAACATATATGTGTAGCTTTAGACTAATTAATGATAACAAACTACACATATGATGTGATTCCACCATGATAATGTAAAATAAACAGATCTAGAATATGTTTTAAAATGGGGTGTTGTTAGTTGACGAATTAATTCATTACAGATTTACCATCTTAGTTAAGATGTATGTATGAGAATTTGATGTTTCTAGCATTGTGGTCAGTGAACATATGAACATAATAAACTATTAGCTGATTGACTTCAAAGAATATAATCTATAAGCAGGTCGCTTATAGGAACTTTATCTAATGAAGAAACGCCCTTGACATAAAAAAACAATAACAAAGGAAAAACAATGGGATGATAGTGTTTCCTTGTTAGTAATAACTAACAAAAAGTCAATAAAAAAAAATGAAGACCTAATGAATGTCTAGATGGAGAAACACGCCTTCAGCGTCGCATATTTTGCTCATTATTTACAATTAAAACGAGAACGCAGGAAATTCTCTGGGCACGAAGGTTTTCTACGACGGGGTTACTTATTTTGACATAGGCTACTTCATTTGAAATTTTAAATAAGAAATGTACGAATTTCTTAAATTTAAACTCTTATGCCATTTTAGGTCTTATACAGTCAAAGAAGATAAGGTTGCAATGTAGTTAGATTTGGCTGACAAACGGCATGACGACTCCTTAAACAAAACTAAATTGTATGACAAAATACATAGATATTAAAACAAGACTCCTTTTTTGAGAGAATGATAAGTTTTAATTTACAAAAGTACAAAAACACCCCAACTACATTTATACAGTATATACAAGCTATCTAAAAAATTACGTATGATAGGTTAGATAAAACTAACAATCACTAATGTAAAGACAGTATGGAAAACACTGAAATTAATATCTTTACTTGATTAAGTATTATAAGGGTTTGGCACGATTGGAGGAAAATGTCTACATCTTGGGAAACTACTGTTGGCACAACGGGTTTATGTAGATATTTGATTTGAGATGTTTCAAGATTTAATTTTGTCATAGGGTTTTGAAACAATATTAGAAAACATATTGTTTAGTAGAAGAATGTGAATACACATAATTTAATATACTGGGACCAATGTTAATATTTCATCATGAAGATCACATAATTAATATAACATTTTTTCGATATAAAATTTGAAAATGGGTTAAATAAAAAGTAAAACTATTTGAAAGACAATCTGGTAAAGTATCCAATAGGTATTGGTTTCAAATGTATGATACATTATTAATTATATTATTAATATGATACATTATTAAATTATAAATCATTTCGTAATATTACTCGCTACGTGTGCTAGAAGAATCACTAAATACAATATTTTTTTTTCTCTAAGGGATTCAAACCAATTAATAGTGCTTTATGAAAATATTTTGTTTTGTTTATCCTGGACTTCATTGATCTATGCATTCTGTATTGTTTTGATAACACGAGCGAGTTTTAGTTAGGTAATCCAAATCTATAATTAAAATTGAATTTTACCTCTAATTTACTTGCTAATAATATTTTCATGGATTGTTATTACCGTAGTCTTACCCGTTATGAAAGGGGAAAATTTGTAAAGGTATCAACTGTTTTGCTTAAGTCTATTATATTATTTTCATTGGCAACAAAAAGCTTTAATCTGTCATAAAAATAAATATCCTACTACTAAGTGCAGCAAGAATTGGAATAACTTATCAATGGAATTGGAAGTTGTTTAAATATCTGTTGGCTTTGTTTGTGTTCAAATATTGTTTTTATATTATTTACTTCTTTATAAAGTTAACATTGGTGGGTTTTGTTTTGAAGACTATATCCCCCCATATAATTAACACTGGTATCATTATATGATGGTTTCACCTAGTAACTACTTGCACATTTCATGGATTTATAATTCTACAAAATGACTCTACAAATCAATATTGATCATAAACACAAACAGATGACGTCGCTGGCCCGAATATATACTAATAAAATATAAACGTAAAGTTTTTAGCAGATCCACTCAAATATTGTTACAAACACTGACTTTCGGGCCAGTAACGTAACTTGTTTATTATCCATGCAATTATATTTTCTAATATCCATGGTTAACAAGTAGATTGCAAAACTTTTTAATTGACATTCCACTGATCTTATTTTATCGTTATTACTAAATAACTGCTTAGTATCATTGTACAACATTACATTATATAACCGCATATACAAAGTAATGAAAACATTTACAATATCTATTGTTTATTTTACCAAGGAAAATGCTTTTTCACCCTTAACGTAGATGAAAAAATCAAATATTCCAAGCGTGAATATATCCAACACAATAAAACTCAGGTTTCCAACACGCATGGAACTTTGGACTTTTTCTGGACTAATTTGTTATTTTAAAAAGTATATCACTGTCTACATTACATTAGGTACTATCCATTTTGACGAGTTTCATTCCTGATCTTAGTAGTGGAGGAAGTTTCCATAGGGTGCAGGAGCAGGACTGGGCACGACGGGTGCGACAGGGGCAGGATGGGAAGGATGGACAGGGGTGGGCGTGACAGCTACTCTCATGATCCTCAGGTTGACCTCTTGTGGACTGATGGTCCGTCTTAGGAATTTCTGGAGTCTTGTGGAGACGACCCACAACTCACCACGGTCCCTCTCTGCAGAACGGATGTCCAAGACGAACTGGAGTTGCTCAGGATCGTGCGCAAGAACCCTGGGATATAAGTTTAATTATTATATATGCGCAATTTGTAAACATGGTTTAAATATTATTTATTATAATAAACTGTTAAAAACATATCTGTATTTGAACAATAGTGGGGCTGCCACGACTTTGAATTGTGCATACCTTTATTTTTTGCCAGTAATAATCTGTTACCTGTTTAGTTGAGCATAACAGCTCGCTAGGAATAGTTCTTAACTTAACTGTTCTATTCAGATTTCGTTTGTTCAGATATAATCAGATTCCCATAATATTACCATTGTAATAATTAAAGTGACAACCTCCTCGAGTGAAACCAAGTTATATTACAAGTCTCTTCTCTCCATGTTGTTACCTGTGGTCTTGGGAGCCGGGTGTCCAAGCAGCCAGTGCGGTCTCACTGACTGGGCAGAACACCAATGAACCATCTCTGAGGTCGACAGCGATAGGAGCAGCTTGGGAGCTCTTATGACCCACCAGAGTCACAGGCAGGTCACTGTCATCGCCGTTGTTGGGGCCAGCCTTGAGGACGGATGTCGGTATGGAGGAGATACGGTTGGAGGCGAACGCTTGGAAGTAGAGTGTGCGTTCTGGACCAGGGGCAGACAGGGCGAGGCCGATGACTCCGTCCATCAGAGTGAAGTATTCTCCGGCAACCTGTTTCAATTGTCAAAGGTTTCACATGCTTAAGCGTGCTTACAAATTATTTCCGATCAAAACATAGGCTTAGCCAAAACATAAGCTACATAGGCTTAGCCAAACTGAATATAAAACGGTTATTAAAATAGCGTGACTTCTTACATGATGCTAATCCCCAAAATTGCTTACAGCAACTAGTTTCAGCACCGAGTTGGTGCCATCTTCAGGCTTTATTACAACACATACCATTGCAGTATAGACTAGACTCTACTTCCGCCGGGTTAGTGTGGTTGGCAAAATCAGCTTTTTAAATATTAAGGTGTCGTAATTTTCCTCTAGTTTGTGTTTGACAAAGTGCTGTTTCGTTTTAGCGAATTTCCCTATAGGGAAGTAGCTATTACTGTAGGTGGCATGGTAAGACCTAGGCCCGGGACCGATTTACTTTTTCATTTTGATGTCCCCAGAGGCCAAAATCACCATTCGTTAAAATTTTTATATATGTATATATATATATGTGTCCGTGATAACGATAACTTGAGTAATTTTCATCCGATTTTGATAAAATTTGGTTTGAAGGTGTAAGGCGGGATAAACTTGAATGAATTCGCGAACCAGCATGATCGGACTATGGGAACGGGGTTTTACGGGGGGTTTTATGGGGTAAAAATTGGTTTTTCTAATTTTTGACCCTCCAAACGCAAAATTTCCCAATTTATCTTCAGACCTTCTTAAAGAGCTTAAAAAACAAATAATTTAGTATATCAAAGTGTTTTTGTACTATTATTAGTTACGGAGAAAATTCAAATAATTGTTATTTTAAAATTCCCATGTTATTCTTATGGGGAATATTGTAAAATGTTGTAGTCTTCTTGTTTATGGATATATTTTGATCAAACTTGGTAAATTTATTTATTTTATACCAAGTTAATAATATTTCTCTAAAAAACACACTTTTTACCCTCCCTGTAGCAGCAAGCCTATGTACTCATAAAAATTAATGTTAATTAAATACATTTAATTGAAAATCAATTCAGGCAACTGGAAATTCGCTTAGTCGGCAGGTTTGCTGCGGCGGAGGTATTTTCTTTAATCGACAGTCTTCAGAAGACGACGACTACATTCTTGTACAACCTGAAGATGTCACCAGCTCACACAAGAATGCATGATGGCACAATAGCCTAAGTGCTGAAACTAGCTGTAAGCAATTTTGAGTATTACCATAAATCAGGTATATACACCATTTTAATATTTATTGGTAATTTGGAGGCTTTTACACCAACTCAAAGTGCAAAGTAGATCAGAAAGTAGAAGGAAATCATGCAACATTCTGAAGTTTTAAATAAAAAACAATGGATGTTACAGTTCTGAACAGTTTTTAAAATTGTATATAGTTAAGAATACTTTTGAACAACCTCTTAATTAGCACTTTAACATGATGGTACTGTTATAGAAACGCAATGGAAATGCGTCAACCAAAACTATTTGATATGTTTGAACCTAAAATTTACAAGAAGGTAAATATAAAAAGAGTTTAGGGTGAGTCGGTGGCTCAGTTGGTAGCGTCACGGACTTCGGACCTCGGGCCCAAGGCAGCGATGTCGTGGGTTCGGATCCTGGTCATTGCCACAAACATTTGATCAGTAGGCTACAGTTCACCTCCGTACTGTACCGGCTTACCCCTTGCTTTGCTAGATATGTTCCGAGCACGGGCAGTTTTAGTCTATGTGGGCGTGCAAATGAAAGGTTAAAAGAGGACGCCAACCTCTTAAAAAAGTTAAAATGGCAATTGATGTCTCTGATGAGCGCGGTGATGATCGGTGTGACTAGTCGAAATCATTGGTTATTATAACACCTTATATATATTAACTGTCTTCTTATGTATCCAGTATGTATGTAATTATATCTAAAAGTATTGAAAGAGACACGTTTTACAATATTTCTGTACCTACACTTTAGATATAAGATTTTTTCTTAAATTCTTACAGTTAGTGTGGTTTTTTCAATGTAGGCACTGCTCCTACTTTTGAATTCTTTAGTGACGCTTATATAAGGTTACCAATTGACATTTGTTGTATCATAAACAATATGTTTACATACATTGGCGTGTGTGTGTGTCAAATGTTATACATATACAGACTATAGCATAAGTGAGTACAAGAATTTAGGAATAATAACGGGTCAAAATAATACGTAAATCAAGAATAAGATTATATTTCTCAAAAATGCCTCGTTAGCGATATATCCGCCATTAGGTTTTTACGGCTTTCAAATTTATATTTAGAAACCTTTTTAAGATACCTTTTTGAAATTTGACATAAGATGTTTAAAAAGCTATTCTTAGGAAAATAATTACTAACATTTATTGTTTCAAAGTGATGGCAGTTTTAATGTTTATAACTTAAATTACTGAAGAATGGGAGATTTTATGAAAAAAATGTCAAGAACAATTTGATATCAAACAACACAAAGCTAAATCTATAAACAAATAGCTGAGAAATTACGATTTTAGGCGCAAAACAGGGGCACACCTACAGATCGTGATTTGGAGCTATTTATTATGTACAGATCCTTTTGAGCTTGGTGTTATTTGATATAAAATGTTCAATGCTAAATATAGTTTTCTTACCATTTGTCCACAACATTTATCAATAAATTAAGTCAATGGTCACTATTTTGAAAAAAAAAAATAATATTTTTTTAGATACCTTTCCTGCAAATAGCTCATGACTGTTGAAATTCGTACGCCAAATTTCATAAAGATATCAGAAATAGTTTTAAACTTATAAATGTAAAACGCAACCAATAGTGAATATCTCACTGACGAAGGCATGGTTAGAAAAAGTCATATAGATGATTTTCTATTAGTTTTGGCCCATTAAATCTACTTCTAAATCTTTTGAGCGCCCTTTAAAACATTATTATATAAGCACAAAGCATTTTTCTCCATTTGCTCCTAATTAGCGTTAAATATACGCTTACCCTAAAAGTACCCCAGTCAGGTTCAGGGAAAAACGCGGGGTTACCGAGCCTCCAGGCAGAATCTCTTCTGGCATCATAGACGACCAGGCCAGGGTTGGTAGTATCACTCATGTACACGAAGATGTTATCGCAACTGGCAGCGTGACCATCCAGGCCCTCATTCTGGTCATCCAGCACGAGATTGGTCAACAGAGTGTTGGGCCGAAGGACTTCAGGAGGAAGAGTGATACTACGGATCTGCAAATGTTACAGAAGCGTTTGTAGGCTGTCAATATTATTGAGACATAAAATGTAAAAAATATACAAATTTAGATAATATGAATCACGCCTTGAAAATTACTAGATTAAAATTCAAATAAAATCATTTCGTCTCAAAAGCAAGAAGTGAATTGCGTAAACGCCGACAATATTACTGCTGCGCTATGAAGAACAAGATCAAACAATTAATCGATCAACCATTGCAAAAAATCATCGTGGTCAAGATTTACACCCAATGTACTATTTTTTTTATATCAACCTTCATAACCTACTAGCGTGTCAAGTGTGAGGTCGAAGATGAGGATTTTGGGAGGACAAGCAACTCTGAAGTTGACTAAAGAGTCCATGACTCTACTGTCCAAGTTGTATTAAACTTAAACTACTACCTACTAGAGTGTCAGTAGTGAGGTCGAAGATGAGGATCTTGGGAGGACAGGCAACTCTGAAGTTGACTAAAGAGTCCATGACTCTACTGTCCAAGTTGTATTAAACTTAAACTACTACCTACTAGAGTGTCAGTAGTGAGGTCGAAGATGAGGATCTTGGGAGGACAGGCAACTCTGAAGTTGACTAAGGAGTCCATGACTCCACTGTCCAATACCCAGAGACGATTGCAGCGGTCCAGACGTGTGCGGAAGACTGAGAGCATTCCTGTGCAGTTGTCGCCCCCAACTTCGCCAGCGGCGGCATCTCTGTGCCAGTCCCAACTGGGGTAGGGCTGTGACAGAATTATGCATCGTCAATAAAAATTCTAACCGTCTCTAGAATACAATAGATCGATAATGTGAAGATAAGTCAAGTCTGATAATTAAATTGAACAATTCAATGTCATTACTTCAGAACAAGTCCTTCAGCCGTAGTCGTTCATTAAAATCGCAAGGATCATAGTCCACAAAAGGTCATAGGTCATCATAGGTTCAAACCACAAAATAATGCTACATTTACTATGGATCAAGGGTTTGCATATTGTATTAGCACTGTGTACACAGCAGTTTGTTCAACAAACCACTTAGTTAGCGAGAATCTACGCACAATCAATAGTGATGGTTGTAGTATGTAATCCAAATCACATTACTTAAAAACATGAAAACAATTATCTATGAATGGGGTTGCATATAACACACATTAAATCTAAATAGCAATAAGAAAGAACATACTTGTAGTTTAGGGGAGAGTTCTGAATAGCCGCCAGGTCGGTTGCGAGGTATGAAGGCTAAGCTGAGGGGAGCTCCTGGCATAAACCTGGGCAGAGAGAGGAATATCCTCTCCCAGCCAATCTCTAGACCCGTGGTCGGACTCTGCGAGGTAGAGTAGTTGGCATTGGTAGGGTAGTTGTAGGGGATGTCAAAGTCAAAAAGGTTCCATTGGTTGATGATCTCTAACTCAGCAGAGACCAACTCGCACCCAAGAAATACCAGGAGTACAGTCCTGAAGATCATCCTGTCAAACAAACAATCGGCGTGATATCATAACTTAGACAAAGCAACAGTGTATTCTAATGCCGAAAAATTACATTATATATACATAATAATAATAATAATAATACAATAATAATAATACAATAATAATAATACAATAATAATAATACTAGGAGAACACCTGTCCTCCGTTCAGGGTTGGCGTATAAGTATAAATTGCTGATTGCAGTTATACTCCTGCTTTGCGTTTCCAATGGGGGAGGACACGGTTTTAGAAAATTTGGTCCTTTTAATTTACGGTGTGCTGTAGCACACATCTACCATAGCCATAATGTTCTGCCACTACACCTAAACAATAAAAAAGTAAATGACCGAATATTCGCACAATATAAAAAAACTATTTATAAATGAAAACATAAACTTAACTTAAAAAAACTCCTATTTTGACATTTCTCTTGTGTTTCACAGCTTTTTGTTGCTTATCGGTTCAAATTAGCTGTTGTCATAAATGAAGAAAAAAATAGTACTGCACCCTGTTGGTAATCCTTGTAACTTTTTAATGATATTGAATATCATAGAACCGACTTGTGCAGTTGAAACACCTGACAAAATTCGTTGATTATATTAAATAATATGAATACTCACAAGGTTAACATGGGAAACTCCAGAGCCACGGGGGTGGAGCCCGTAATAAGTACATATGTCTATATGTTAATCGGGAACGTGAGCTATCATCATACCCAATTGCAGCCCCATCTGACCAGTACTTAATGCGTGATTGAACTTCAAACAAACACACAAACTTTCATATTTATAATATTGAGTATGATATAATGTATGTATTTATATAAGATTACTCGAACAAAAACCATTCGGTTTTGATAACATTATGTACAAACGTGTAAACAATTACTAAACACGCTGTTATTCTTCCGGTTTGGTGCAATATTTTTTTTTGTAAAATTTCTGTTATTCAAATTCACAGAAAGTACTCACCACAAAAATAATAACTGGTTGAAAAACATTATGGGCGGAGTAGGCGAGGAGTAACGAGGAAGTAGGCCTTTGGTTACGCCAGCTGTGAGCTGTGAGTTGTTCACTTATCGCAGCATTTTATGTAAATGTTACCACGCCTAAATGGGACGAGGCCCTTTACATACGAATATCACGACTCGTACACTACTTTCTCTTTCTCTCTTCCAATTCGCGCTCTCATTCTGTCCAATTTAAATCATATTGTATTGGTAATACCATTGATACAGTTCCTGTTGCCCTTTGGTCAATATAATTTCCAGTGTTTGAAGTAATTTATGTAATTAAAAAAAAAAAAATAATATACAATTTGTGATGACACTTGAGTTAAATAATAATAAGGAACGGTGCTACTGTAGATGTTTAACTGAAATTTACGTACATTTTTTTATGTATGTGCAGCACTGCTTGGTAACAGTGTTGATGACTTCAGTGATTGCATCAGTCCCCTATTGTATAAGTACTTCAACGAACAGTTGTCTTACTTCAGAAGAAAATGCTCCAACATTATCTTTGTTATGCTTGTTTTGTAGCTGATGTTTGTTTGTTTTTCCTAAATCTCTTTCATTCTTGTTTTCATTCATAGATTTATTGTTGTTTGTTGTTATTTTTTCACGTAGAACTTAATGTCAACATAGTTTATATTTTGTTAATTCTTGAGGAGATATTTGTTGTTGTTACTTTCAAAATCTATATGCTTTTTCTAGAGTCCAAATTAATATTACATATTTTTTGTTATTATCTGCACAATACTTTGTTAATGTTATTATCTGTAATTTTTGTCACGTTGTTGTTTTCTTGTTATTATTTTTGTTGCAATGCTACTTTGTTTCATGGTCATTATTTAACTTATTTTGTTATATTTTTGTTATCTTTTCATTCTGCTCATGTGCTAAAACACATATTTTGTAAATGGTGTATCCGTTGATATGAATAAATAAATAAATAAACTGTTGTTACTAAGGCACAAACTCGTCAATTCTGTCTAAATACCCATGAAGGGTAACTTTTGATGTTATTGTAGTATGAATGTGTACACAAGACACGATAATAACAAACACGTTTTGATAACGTTACAATATTATTTTTATCCATCAGAACTACTTTATTTTGCAAAACAGGTGGACGAACTTTAAATTCAGACAGTCGTACACTGATGATGTCCTCGACTCGAGCGGATTCCTTTCTCGTTAGGGAGGAAAGGGCCTTCTTTACACTTTCAGTTTTCATTGTAGTACGCCTATGACGAAAAGTATGCGAACTAAGTAAAGTTAAAGGCGATGGAGATTGTACCCTTGTCACTTACACGAGCTTGACAACACATTGGGACTTCATCTTTGGAAATGGTACATCTTTATTTGTGGTTTATAAGAAAATAAATATAAAAAAATACTATGTAAGGTAAAATGCAAGGATTTGGCAGCTGTTTAATTCTATGTATTGTAGTAGTGCGCGTGTATATTGTGATTATCTTAATCGGAAAATAATTAGATCCAAGGGATAAGATGTAGCAAACATTCAAATTAATTTATCTTTGTCCTTGATGCTGTGTTTATGTTTAAAGTACCTATTATTTTAGGTTGTTTTTCACACAACGTACAACGAATAAAATATCGAAATCAAAGCATACTGCACAGTGTTTATTAAACTTTTTTAGTATCTACAGTTTCCACTTTTGTCTTTTCTTTTTAGAAAATTTATACATGCATTTGTTTTTTCAGCCAGCTCTCTTAGCAAACAACAATACATTTAGAAATCAACCACCTTCCCAAACTGGAATTTTGAGGCGCAACAGGATGATTTATATTTCCTTAACAAGATTGAGGTGGGAGTCAGTAAAGGATGTAACATAATTAATCGACCGGCGACCGGGTATTCGGTTACGCAATGACTACTTTCGCGATCTGATAGAGATAGAGATGACAATGGATAAGTAGAACAGCTGTTTAAAATTACTGCTTTCAGTGCTTTACACTTGGATTTCACAGATAACCTTTAAAAAGAGGCTTCAAAACAGGGTGTTTTCTGCGCAACCCAAATTAAAAGTAATTTGAGACACGTTATAACGACAAAACAAGCTTATACAGTGTGTAAATTAAGTATGGAAACAAATCTGTATTTTTTAAACCAAAATAGATAGAAATATTTGGTTTGTGGCATTGACTGTTAACCAAGGTTCCGGAATTTTTTGCATCAGAAAAAATTTTTCACCCCCTCAGGGGGGGTAGGGGTAGGGGGTAACTTAATTTTTTTAAATAGCAACCCCTATTGAGTGACCTCTCATTTTGAAGGGTTTGTCAAAAGAAATACAATGCCGTAAACCCGAGGTCGATATCTTACCCCTAACCAGAATGGCGGCCATTTTAAATTTCGAGATGGGCAAACGAAATCCAGTGTGGATACCCATAATTTACCTTTTAAATGGGTTACATTGGGTAAGCCGAACTCCAGATACCATTATTAGATTGAAAAGTGGATGTTTTTATCGTATTCAAAATTTTGCCCCAGCCCCCAAAATAGGGGATTTTGGGGGCAGCCCCAAATTTTTAAACGCAAACCCCTATTGAGTGACCCCTCGTTTTGAAGGGTTTGTCAAGACAAAAGCAGTGGCACAAATCTTAGGTCGATATGTCATCCCTAGACGAAATGGCAGGCATTCAAAAACTTGATTGGGTAAAAAAGCGCCCATTTCACCAATTAAAAATGTTGAATGCCTGCCATTTCGTCTAGGGATGACATATCGACCTAAGATTTGTGCCACTGCTTTTGTCTTGACAAACCCTTCAAAACGAGGGGTCACTCAATAGGGGTTTGCGTTTAAAAATTTGGGGCTGCCCCCAAAATCCCCTATTTTGGGGGCTGGGGCAAAATTTTGAATACGATAAAAACATCCACTTTTCAATCTAATAATGGTATCTGGAGTTCGGCTTACCCAATGTAACCCATTTAAAAGGTAAATTATGGGTATCCACACTGGATTTCGTTTGCCCATCTCGAAATTTAAAATGGCCGCCAATCTGGTTAGGGGTAAGATATCGACCTCGGGTTTACGGCATTGTATTTCTTTTGACAAACCCTTCAAAATGAGAGGTCACTCAATAGGGGTTGCTATTTAAAAAAATTAAGTTACCCCCTACACCTACCCCCCCTGAGGGGGTGAAAAATTTTTTCTGATGCAAAAAATTCCGGAACCTTGGTTAACAGTCAATGCCACAAACCAAATATTTCTATCTATTTTGGTTTAAAAAATACAGATTTGTTTCCATACTTAATTTACACACTGTATATTGGCATCCCTGTTTTCTTTACTTCATTGCCGATCAGCTGATATGCATGCATAGTTATATCTATGAATTTTAGTGTTGTTGGGCATTTATTATAGATAAGACTCAACATGGTGTTTTCACAAGTTCAAATAGGCCCACGATTTATGTTTACTACGGATTCGGTGACCTTAAAGTTGTATATGTCAATCACAACTGTTGACTTATTAACTGAAATCACTGGATCACACCTAGAAACATAATTTGAAACTTATCTTGGCATAAAACCAATAATATACTTTTAACGTATTCTTATTGCGAAGATACCATGTTGTGTCTTATTTAGAATAAATTCCCAATTAACCTCAACAATAGCTAGAAAAAAAGCATTTTAGCTGATCGGCAATGAAGTAAAAAAAAAAAAAAAAAAAAAAAAAAAACAGGGATACTAGCATATAAGCGTGTTAGAGAATTTCCCATATAAGGAATAAGCTACTACCGTAGGTCTCGTAGAAAGACCTGGACCCGTGACCAATTTACTTTTTCGATTTGAGGTCCCCAGAGGCCAAAAACACCATTTGTTCAAATTAATATACAGGGTGGCTGGTCATTAATGTTACAGAAATATTTTTGTGTAAGTATAAAGTAAATGATATGTGATGATGCATATAAGAGGTACCAGGTCTCAAAAATGGCTTCCCAAAGAATTATTTTTATTTTTTTCAAG